GAGATTGCTGTGAGCTGTGATGCCATGGCACTCTACCCAGGGGGATAGCTTGAGGCTCCGTCTCAAAAAAAAAAAAAATACCAACATATAGGTGAAAAGCATATGTCTTTGCTTCTGCCATTTCTGAGAGTGAGCATGTACAAATCTTGCCCGGCACAATTCGGGAGAGACTGAGGCAGAACTCCCTATGACTTGGAACCAAGGATTCCTGTGCCCAGACCCTTAAGGGGCCAGAGCGTCCAAACATGTTGCTGGCATGTCGCCAGGATCTCCATATTGTGGTTTTGCAAGGTTAAGATACTGGGAGCTCCAGATGGCTTGAGGCTGAGAACAATCGGCCTTTTTTCCCTTTAGCAGTTTTCATTATCTATCAAAAAGTGGGCTAGGGAGTTAACAGTCTGCTTCTTCATGGCTACTATTTTCAGTATAATAGATAACTTAGAAGAATGTGTCTCACTAAAAAAGTTAGTCTGTTTTTTACAATGTGTTGGTGAGGTAATGGTATGAATATTCATTAATAACACGTTCATGCTTCACCAGCTATTTAAGCTGGGAAAAAATAAAGATTTTTGCTATCTGCCATAGAGTGGTAGTCTCCTTTATGCCATAATCATTCCAATGCAAGATCTACACCTGCGTCACCGGCCACTCATAAGAAACTTTCACACAACACCAAAACCATGGTGGCTCATGCCTGTAATCTTAGCATTCTGGGAGGCCGAGCAAACAATCCCATCTACCACTGGGCAAGAGATAGGAACAGAACCTTCTCTGATGAAGAGACACAAATAACTAACAAACATTTGAAAAAAATTCTCATTGTCCCTGATCATCAGAGAGACGCAAATCAAAACCACCCTGAGATATCACCTAACCCCAGTGAGAACACCCCACATCACAAAGTCTCAAAGATGCAGATGCTGACGTGCATGTGGAGAAAAGGGAACACTTTTACACTGCTGGTGGGACTGCAAACTAATAACAACCTTTTGGGAAGAAGTATGGAGAATCCTCAAAGAGCTGAAGAAATCAGACCTCCCATTTGATCCTACAATTCCATTATTAGGCATCTATGCAGAAGAAAAAATACCATTTTATCATAAGAACATTTGCACTAAACTGTTTATCACAGCTCAGTTTCCCACAATCACCAAAATGTGGGAACAACCTAAATGCCCATCAACCCAGGACTGGATTAACAAGCTGTGGTATATGTAAACCATGGAATACTATTCAGCCATTAAAAAAGATGGAGTCTTGACATCTTTTGTATTAACCTGAAAGGAGTTGGAACACATTTTTCTTAGTAAAAGTATTACAAGAATGGAGAAGCAAGAATTCAGTGTACTCAATTCTAATATGAAGCCAGTAAATAATCTATTACACACCTACATAAGAGAAAAACTCAAATCAATTCAAGGTAGGGAGGGAAGGGGACAAAGAAGCAGAGAGATGGGGTATTCCCACTTAATGAGCACAATGTTAGGGTGGATGGCATCCCTCTTGGGGGTGGGACACAATTATAAGAGGGACGTTACCTAACAAATGCAAACACTGTAACCTAATTCTTAGTACTCTTAATTAAAAAAAAAAATGAAGCACAGTAAGAGTAAAATTACAACCAAAACATCTCATGAGTACCTTAAAAATTCAGAGAATTTCAATTACTTCCATCTAACCAGATACTTTCTCAAAACATTTCAAATATCCCACTACTTTAATGTTGTCCACTTTTATAAAAAATATTTTTTAAAAAGACATTTGTTACTTAACATTTTTTTTTTTTTTTTTTGAG